GTCTGTCTCTCTCATCTGTATGTCTGTCTGTCTCCTCTCTCAACATGTCTGTCTGTCTGTCTGTCTGTCTCTCTCTGTCTGTCTGTCTCCTCTCACTGTCTGTCTGTCTCCCCTCTCTCTCTAACACTGTCTGTCTGTCTGTCTCTCTCTAATACTGTATGTCTGTCTGTCTCTCTCTAACATGTCTGTCTGTCTGTCTCTCTCTCTAACACTGTCTGTCTGTCTGTCTCCCTCTCTCTAATACTGTATGTCTGTCTGTCTCCCTCTCTTAACACTGTCTGTCTGTCTGTCTCTCTAACACTGTCTGTCTGTCTGTCTCCCTCTCTCTAATACTCGTATGTCTGTCTGTCTCCTCTCTCTAACACTGTCTGTCTGTCTGTCTCTAATACTGTCTGTCTGTCTCTCTCTCTAACACTGTCTGTCTGTCTGTTCTCTCTCTAATACTGCATGTTCTGTCTGTCTCCTCTCTAACACTGTCTGTCTGTCTTCCCCTCTCTCTAACACTGTCTGTCTGTCTGTCTCTCTAATACTGTATGTCTGTCTGTCGTCCCTCTCTCTAACACTGTCTTGTCTGTCTGTCTCCTCTCTAACTTATGTCTGTCTGTCTCCCTCTAACACTGTCTGTCTGTCTGTCTCCTCTCTAACACTGTCTGTCTGTCTGTCTCTAATCACGTCTGTTGTGCTGCTGTCTGTCCCCTCTCTCTAACATCTGTCTGTCTCCCTCTCTGTCTGTCTCTGTCTGTCTGTCTCCTCTAACACTCTGTATGTCTGTCTGTCTCCTCTCTCAACTGTATGTCTGTCTGTCTCCTCTCTCTAATACTGTCTGTCTGTCTGTCTCCTCTCTCTAACACTGTCTGTCTGTCTGTCTCCTCTCTACTACTGCATGTCTGTTCGTCTCCTCTAACACTGTATGTCTGTCTCTCTCACTGTCTGTCTCTCTCTAACACTGTCTGTCTGTCTGTCTCTCTCTGTCTGTCTGTCTCTCTCTAACACTGTCTGTCTGTCTGTCTCCCTCTCTCTAACACTGTCTGTCTGTCTGTCCCTCTCTCTAACACTGTCTGTCTGTCTGTCTCTCTCTCTAATACTGTATGTCTGTCTGTCTCTGCCTCTCTCTCTACACCGCCTGTCTGTCTGTCTCTCTCTGTCTGTCTCTCTCTCTAACACTGTCTGTCTGTCTGTCTCTCTCTCTAACACTGTCTGTCTGTCTGTCTCCTCTCTCTAATACTGTGTCTGTCTGTCTCCTCTAACACTGTATGTCTCTGTCTCTCTCTAATACTGTATGTCTGTCTGTCTGTCTGTCTGTCTCTCTCTCTCTAATACTGTATGTCGTCTCCCCCAACACTGTATGTCTGTCTGTCTCTCTCTAACACTGTCTGTCTGTCTGTCCCTCTCTCTCTTGCTGTCTGTCTGTCTCCTCTCTCTAACACTGTCTGTCTGTCTGTCTCTCTCTCTAACACTGCTGTCTGTCTGTCTCCCTCTCTCTAACACTGTCTGTCTGTCTCTCTCTAACACTGTGTCTGTCTGTCTGTCTCCCCTCTCTAACACTGCATGTCTGTCTGTCTGTCTCCCTCTCTAACACTGTCGGTCTGTCTGTCTCCTCTCTAAACACTGTCTGTCTGTCTGTCTGTCTCCTCTCTAACACTGTTCGTCTGTCTCCTCTCTCTCTAAACACTGTCTGTCTGTCTCTCTCTAACACTGTCTGTCTGTCTGTCTGTCCTCTCTCTAACACACACACACCTGTATACCCATTCGACTTCCTGTTAATTACACGTAAAACCCCGGACGGAGGAGGGTGGTGGTGGTGGTGGAAGGAGGTGTGGTGAGTGGTGGAACGGTGTGGTGGGTGGTGGGAAGAGAGAGGTGAGTGGAGAGGGCGGTGTGGTGTGGGTGGGTGGTGGAAGAGGGGGGGAGGTGGGGTGGTGGTGGGTGGAAGAGGGCGGTGAGGTGTGGTGGGTGGTGGAAGAGGGTGGTGAGGTGTGGTGGGGTGGTGATGAGGTGTGGTGGGGAAGAGGGCGTGAGATGTGGGTGGTGGAAGAAGGCGGTGAGGTGGTGGGTGGTGGAAGAGGCGGTGAGATCAGGTGGGTGGTGGAAGAAGGCGGTGAGGTGTGGTGGGTGGTGGAAGAGGGCGGTGAGATGGTGGGTGGTGCAGGCGGGGACAGAAACAAGCTGTAAGTGAATAACCAGTTGTCAGGTCTATTTTGAGGGAAGGTGATCCGTCTCTCTTCATCTCACCAACATTCCTGCGTCTTAACCTCAACTCAAAGTCACATCTTTATTCTTCTTTTCATCTATCCTCCTCCTTCTTTTTCTTCTCCATCCATTCCCCTTCTTCTCCATCGTTCTCGCCTTCTACATCCTTCTTTCCTTCTCTGCTCTTCCTTCTCTGGTGTACTCCAGCCAAGACCCGGGCTCTCAAGTATTGAAAGCGAGGAAAAGGCTTGATTAAATGAGATACTGACGGACCCTTCCTCCACTTCCTTCCATCCTTCTTTCTGCTCCTCATCATCATAATCACAATTATTTTATCTTTTACCATCGTCATCATTTATCATTAGGACTTACTGTTAATATTATTATTATTATTATTTACTATTCATTCAGGAGACAGGGGGAAAGAGAGGGGGAGGGAGAGGGGAGGGAGAAGGAAGGGGAGAGGAAGGGAGGAGAGAGAGAGAGAGAGAGAGAGAGAGAGAGAGAGAGAGAGAGAGAGAGAGAGAGAGAGAGAGAGAGAGAGAGAGAGAGAGAGAGAGAGAGAGAGAGAGAGAGAGAGAGAGAGGGAGAGCACAAGCACTTCTGTGATCGTGTTCAGCACTTAGGACAATTGAAGAAGTAAATCGATGCAAGAAAACACAAAAGAAAAGACAGACAGCGAGATAGAAGAGGAGGAGGAGGAGGAGGAGGAGGAGGAACAAGAACAACAACACGAAGGAAGAAGAGAAATAATAACAACAACAACAACAACAACAACAACAATAATAATAATAATAATAATAATAACAGGACAGGTTTCAACATCTCGTCAAACCACAATTAAAAAAAATCCATTGCAGGAGTTAATGACGTCACACGGACACGCCCCACCCCAGACAGGTACAGCGGGAGTGGTGCCACTTTACCACCATTAACTTAGTGTAGTAAAGGTTAGGGAGTGCCACACTAACTCCAATTACGGCATAAAAAAGTTTAGATTATTCCTTAAGGTGCCAGGTGGAGAGTAAAGAAGATAGTACTGTCACGTAAACACACACACACACACACACACACAGTCACGTCTACGGCTTTAATAGATAACTTTATTCTTTCTCAACTTTATATTCACATTTATTTGCCAGTTTCTTTGTCCTAATGATTTGTTATTCCTGATGAGGATAGGCCAGTTAAGATGGGCGTGGGTGGGTGTAGGTGGGCGTGGGTGGGGTAGTGTGTGGGAGGAGTGGGTGTGGGAGAGTGTGGGTTGGGATAGGTGGGTGGGGATGGGTGGGCGGGTTAGAGTGTGGGTGGGGTGAGTGTGGGTGCAGGTAGGTGTGGGCGGGGGAAGTGTGGGTGAGGATGGGTGTGGGTGGAAGTGTGGGTAAGGATGGGTGTGGGTGAAGATGGGTGTGGGTGGGGAGAGTGTGGGGAGGGCAGTGTGGGTGAGGATGGGTGTGGGCAAGGGAGGTGTAGGTGGGGATGGGTGTGGGCGGGGGTGTGTCGGTGGGGATGGGTGTGGGTGGGGTGTGGGTAGAAACATGGGTGTGGGCGGGGGGTGTGGGTGTGTGGGTGTGGGCGGGGGGAGGTGTGGGTAAGGATGGGTGTGGGCGGGGGGGGTGTGGGTGGGTGTGGGCCAGAGGCAGGTATCCTCCAGGGCAGACAACGGCTCCAACTTTCAACAGGATATACACGACTACTATAAACCTCACGTCAGGAAATTACTACTACTACTACTACTACTACTATCACTATCACTACTACTACCACTACTACTACTATTACTACTAGAACAATAAAGAAAATACTCATAATAACAATACTAATATCTACAACACCTATATATGTTATGACTCACCACCACAATCAATATCACCACCACTATCATCACCACCACCACCACTATCATCACCACCACCACCACTATCATCACCACCACCACCACTATTATCACCACCACCACCACTATCACCATCACCACCACCACTATCACCACCACTATTATCATCCAAATTAAAAAAAATATACAAATTACAATCACAAAATACACCACCTGTCCTTTCCCCGCGCGTCCCTTTAAATACCTGGCCGTCACCGTACACACACACACGCAGGCACCCACACACACAAATTCACATGAACACACTCAAAGACATACATGCACTGTCACACACACACATTACACACAATAATGTACAAAACTCAAAGAATGATATGCGCACACACACACACACACACACACCATCATCATCATCAAATACCGACACGAACTTCACTCACAGTGTGAATGTCCCCTTCCTACCCCTCCCCCCTCCTCCACACATAGAAACACACACACATACACACACATACCGTCACACACTTATGGAAATACACACACATCCCACATACAAACAGAACAAATGCAAACAAACATGCACACAATATACGCACATGTAGGCAACACAAACAAAAATACACACAACACCAGCTCAAATGCACACACCCATGCACGTATACACAAACACCACACAGCCAATATACACAAACATTTAAGGCAATACACACATACAGGCATACGTAGAATAGAAGTAAAACAAAAACATGAGCAGTACACATACATACATACATACTGCACATACACACATAAAGCCCCACCCACCCACCCACACGCACATGTACACACTAACAATAAATATACATGCATACAGCCTCCTCGTAACACACACACACACACTAATACATGAGAGAGAGAGAAGGCGTGACCATCTCAGAAGCAGGATCACCATCTTGAGGGCATCTCGGGAACGTCTTGGAGAGTAACAGCGTCTTACCTCGTGTTGGGCTGGGTAAGTTTCAGCCTCATCTCGGCGTCCTCCCTCTGTACATGATGGTTGTTACCTAGCACTAACTAAACTCCTTTTTCTCTCTATGTTAACTTTTCTTTACACTCTTATCATTCTGTGTCAAGTTCACGAACACTTTGGATATATTTGGCTTTTCTTGGTCATTGTTCGATTGTGTTCAGTCCCAGGATTTTTTTTTTTCGTTACATCTCAAATCTGCCGAGATGATTTTTAAGACTCGACACTTGGCTATCAAGACACACACACACACACACATACACCTTCCTGGTTATAAGACACACGGGGAACTTTGGTTAACACGCGCACCACTAAGACACACAGCACTACAGATGACACAGGTTGAGGGACAGTGTAGACGAACCAGAACACACAAAAGTGGATATGATTTGAGAGGAGAGGCGGGAGACGACGCGTACCTGGATCCAGCACACAGCTAACTGTTCCAGCAGGAGGAGGAGGAGCGGGGCAGGCAGGCAGGTAGGTAGGTAGGACCCTCTCCGGGGCTAGCTGAGCGCTCAACCCCCACCCACCGACACTTCTTCATTCATCGGCTCCTCCTCTCCTCTGGCGAGTTACTCCTGTCCCGACCTGCAGTTAGTAATTATAGAACCAACTCACCCGGTCACTGTATTAATCGATGCTCGACTACCTGGACGGAATTAACTAAAAAAAATCGAAGTTGAATTTAGGGAAGGGGAGGTTGGGTCTTGCTGCCTGCCATCCTTCGAGTTGCCAGTCCGCGGATTATGTATTGTATCGTAGCACATGGCTTTACGTTGGCAATTCCTAACCCAATGGAGAACTTTTACTCAAGACAGTAATATTGACTAACACCTGTACGGCTAATTATCACACCTGAAGCGTAAGTTATCGGTTTTGGAATCGTCTTAAATAGCACTAGATAACTCCGCCTCGCTTCATCTCTCCCTCTACCCTCACAAACTCATGGGCGCATTCCTTTGTTGTGTGTGAGGGAATAATTCACCCCCAAAACACAGCTCCTCCTGACACACACAGCCACAGGTGCCCACAGTGATCCACAGCATCTATCCCCCCCTGGGTGACTACGACGCAACCCTGAATCCATTATAATTCCAGGTGTTGGTGACCCTGGGTGTAATCTTGAAGTCATCAGAGGCGGAGTGGAAGAGAGGGTGGGCAGGGGTGGGCTGAGGTAAGGCTGAGGGGGAGGGAAGGGGGAGGGGTCAGAAGAGAATGGGGGGGGGGGGCAAGTCCCGCGGAGGTATGGACAAGCTGGATCGTCAGTTCTCAGGTTTGAGGAATTTGGATCAGTTTAGATTAGAAGCTTTGTTGTGGTCTCCTCCCCCCCTCCCCCCTCCCTCCTCCCCCCGGTATGTGAGTCTCCTCCACCCTCACCCACCATGGAAGCAGCAGAAAATGCAATAATAAATAACAATAACAAATAAAAGCAAAATAATTACTAGAAAACCAGCAAACAAAAACAGGTATAGTTATCACTGTGAGTGTTTCCTACGGGTCACCTGAAGATTCGCCCCCAGCTTATTTCACCTGAAGATGAACCACCCTAACTATACATGGAAATTAGGTTAGCTTTGGTTAAGTTAGGATAGGATGGTTAAACTTCAAGGGAAACAAGATGGGGGCGAATCTTCTAACTAATCGTTTGATACTGATGTGTGATCCCTAACACCCCCCTCCCCTCCCCCGCCATACACACCCTTTACCATACTCAATCCCACGTCATGAATGTTTATCTCACTATCTTTATCCATCTGTACCTCCCATTATCATCTTCAACTATGAGTACTGTACACTTAACATCACTCACATCTTCACCCACAACTCACAATGTTATTCTTCCTCCCTGTTATAAATTTAATCATTATCCTTAACAAATTAAAGGAATAAACCGATAACTGATGAGACCTTAGTATTGGGTAGACTGGTGTTGATAAGGACTCTTCTCCCTGGTCAACTCCTTACAAGGGGAGGAGATACGGCCGAACCTGGAACACCCCTTGAGTTTGTTTACCCAGAAAAAATAACAGAGTGTAATGATGTTTTTATTTAATAACAGTAATGTCTAGTTTATGATGTTTATTATCATAGTGACTGTACGGTTTTAACCTTTTGAAGACGATTGTTTAAACCGTCGTCCTCAAAGGGTTAAATCATCGTCAACAAAGGTTTAAACAATCGTCCTCAAAGGTTTAAATAATCGTCCTCAAAGGTTTAAACTATCGTTAACAAAGGTTTAAACAATCGTCCTCAAAGCGTTAAATCATCGTCCTCAAAGCGTTAAACCATCGTCCTCAAAGTGTTAAATCATCGTCCTCAAAGCGTTTAACCATCGTCCTCAAAGCGTTAAACCATCGTCCTCAAGGTTAAACCATCGTCCTCAAAGTGTTAAACCACCGTCTCAAAAGGTTTAATCATAGCGAGGCATCATAGTGAAAGAGACTGAACGTTAAATGGGCTGATCTGTACTTAACAACACCTGAACTAAACTAACCTGACCTAATCTAAACCTGACCTGACCTAACCTAACCTGATCAGATTAATCTAACCTAACCTAATCATTAACACTGTGGCCTATCTGACTTGACTCCTATTAGGATTGAGGTCTATTAAACTCAGCCCCTTCTAGAATTGGGCCCATTAAGATTTGGGGCCCCAGTTAAAAGGCCAGCTTAAACTTAAGGGCCCATTACAACAGGAAGCTCATTTGACCAAGGTGTTATAATACTCCCTCTATCACAGCTGATGAGTCGAGGGCCCATTAAAACTTGGGGCCCATTAAAGGCTATGTTAACTTGTGGGCCCATTTAACCAAGGTGCTATTAGGAAGCAGCTCTCTCAGGGTTGACAGCTAGAGGGTCGTTGGAAGGTCGTGTTGGTCCCTCACAAGTCTACGGATCTTCCACGCCATTCTAAGCCTTTGTAACTCTCACTTAACATGTTGTAAATAATGATAAAAACAACAATACACAAATCATGTAAAATAATAAAAACAATAAAAATAAATGTAAAAAAAATGCTGAAAGTAATGATATAAAAGACGTGTAAAAATAATAAAATAAAATAAAATACATGTAAAAAAATAAACAATAAACCACAAACAATATATGTAAAAAAAAAAATGAAAAACAACAATACAAAATAAATGTAAAAAAAACTATGAAAATAACAATATAGAATAAACAACATCTAATTATTTACTTTTTGAATAATTAAAGGCCGTTCACATCACTACCTATCAGTTAATGGTAAACAAACACGAAATATAAAAGTGTTAGTAATTAATGTTTGCGATTCATAGGGTTTAATAGTACTCGTGCGTTGATTAATACGTTTATAAATACTATATAGACAGACAGACAGACAGACAGACAGACAGACAGACAGGCAGACACATAGACACAGGCAGACACATAGACACAGGCAGACACATACAAGACACACACACACACACACACACACAGGCATGCAGAGACCAATGGACAGATGGATGGAAGGATGGAAGCAGACAGACAGACAGAAGAAGACAGACAGATAGATAGATAGATAGATAGATAGATAGATAGATAGATAGATCAAAACATCACTTAACGGGGAGGGGCAGATGTAGAAAACACAAATTGCTTTCATTATTCTTATTACACACTGTCACCTGATAGTAAAGGAATGAAGTCTTGAATTCAGTAAGCAGTGAATGAAGTCTCGTTAGTAAGCAACCCACACCTCATGAACTGAATCTCCTAAATAATAAGTCATATGTGTCTTGCAGATGTCAGGTGTAGGTGCTGTGTAGGTGTCAGGTGTGTGGGCAGGTGTGTGGGTGAGTCAGGTGTACTGTATGGGCATGTGGAGATATGAGTGTGATGAGATGTGTAAATGTGAGGTGATGTGAGGTGTGTGGGATCAGGTGTGTGGGGTGTCAGGTGGTGGGAGAGTGGGGGTCACAGGGGTGTTGGAGCAAGGGGGGGGGTGTCAGGTATGTGGGGGTGTCAGGTATGTGGGGGTGTCAGGTGTGTGGGGGGGTGTCAGGTGTGTGGATAAGAACACAGCAGGTGTCCCGTTAGTGACACCTGCCTCAACGGGTGATGATTATGACGCATCACACCTGTCCCACGCTGACAACTCAACAGGTGGTTCAGGAGGAGAGAGAGAGAGAGAGAGAGAGAGGACACAGCAGGTGGTGAAACAGAACGAAGTGAAGAACAGCAGCAACAGCAGAAGCAGGAGGAGGAGGATAGGTACAGCAGGCGGCAGCAGGTGGGAGGTATAGGCAGTGCTTCTGTTGGTGTACTACTGTTCGCAGCCCCTGCCTTCCTCCTCCTTCTCCTCCTCCTCCTCCTCCCCTCTCCGGTTACTGTCATTAATCTCTCCTTACGTCACCTAACAAGCGAAAATTAACACATAAATAATGATAATACCTATGTAATGTAACAGATAGATATACACTGTTATTTAAGGACCCGGTTATTATGAGAGAAAATTGGTTATTGTTCATACGTGCAACAGAAAATGGGACGCAGGGAGCCGCTCACACTGCCTTAGGGAGCCACTACTGGTTCACTCCCTGTTTATTTTGTATCGTCACACCTATTCTCCTCCCTCCTCCCGGCTCTTCTCTCACTAACCCAGCTTATCGTCCCTCCCTCCCTTGCCTCCCTTCCTCACCCACTCTCTTCTCCCTCCCTCCCTTGCCTCCCTCCCTCACTCACCCTCCCTTAGAGGAACAAGGGACGAATTAATTTTACGTGTGATCGTTAGGATAGGTTAGGTTAGGTTAGGATAGGTTAGGTTAGGTTAGTCTGAATCGAATCAAAAATATAATTACTCTCTATTACGGTCGGAGTGTTCCTAGCTCTCCTGTAATGCCTCTTTCATGCCCTCGTCCTGTACCCATGTCTCGTGCCCTCGTCCCGTACCCGTGTCTCCAGCCCCTGTCCCGTACCCGTGTCTCCAGCCCTCGTCCCGTACCCGTGTCTCGTGCCCTGTCCCGTACCCGTGTCTCGTGCCTTCTCCCGTACCCGTGTTCCGTACCCGTGTCTGTCTCGTCCCATACCCGTGTCTCGTTCGTCCCGTACCTGTCTGTGTCTGTCCTCGTACCCGTGTCTCGTGCCCTCGTCCCGTACCGTGTCTCGTGCCCGTCCTGTACCCGTGTCTCCTGCCCTCGTCCCGTACCCGTGTCTCGTGCCCCGTCCTGTACCTCGTGTCTCGTGCCTGTCCCGTACCTGTGTCTCGTGCCTGTCCTGTACCCGTGTCTCCTGCTCGTCTGGCACTCGGTGTCTCGTGCCCTCGTCCCGTACCCGTGTCTCGTGCCCTCGTCCCGTACCCGTGTCTCAGAGCAGAAGACAAGGCACGTGTGTTTTGTCGGGTATGGGCGGAGCACATGACACGTACTCCATGGGTGACAGGTGGAGAGGGC